ACTCTGTTCAGGCCACCTTGAAAATAAAGGTGTAGTTGGCACCTTGCTAGGTATAGAGACCCAGGGTAGCTATAGTGCAGCTACCAGGTATAGTACTTCAAGTTCCCTTTCCGTCAACCGCTCGATAGCCTCTACGCACAGCAATCCACAGCTTTGAAGTCTCATTCGTGCTTTGAACTTGTGTAGGTGTGTAAGAGGTATAGCAACATAGTATTTATACGGACCCAGGCTAGCTTCAGAAGAGCACTCCGATACTTCACTTACAGCACTCCTTGAAGAGCATGAGTCGCTTGCGCATAGCCACCAGAAACAAAAAATCTTAGTCTTACTGGAAGTGGAATGAAACACCAGGACCTTCAGAATGACCTCTTTGGAGTCTCCAAGTGACCTCATTCGGGACTAAGTGACTAAGTGACCTCATTCTGGGATCTCGGACGGTCACTTTGAAGGTCCTGGTAGACACCAAATGATGTCAATGTGGATAGATTTGGCTACGGCCTAAAACATCGGATTCCATCCAAACCCCCCCTGTGCAGAGGAAAAATCCGGGCAAAATGACACCGAACCCCTCAATTGCCAGGAAGCGCAGGTTTTTGTTTTGACATGGTTACCTCTGTGTGGGCAGAACAAGACATGAAGCAGATTTGACACGCGGCCGCAAGCAGCTGCGCGAGCTCATTTGCTTGCTTCGACGCGCAGTTGTCGAGAAAGGGAAGCGCTGGCTTTCGTTTTGCAGCTTCTCAGGTTTGCAAAATTGCCAAATTCAAGAAGTTGAGAATTGCAGAGTTTTGGTTTCTTTGACAGAAACAGTGTCAGGTCGCCTAACCAGTAATCTGTCCCATGGATGCCGGCTGCCCCTGGGACCCCCGTTGGCGGGGAACGCCCTCGGCTCTCCGGGGGGGCTGGTGCTGCTGATGCAGCCATGCAGCCGGCCGATGATGATGATGACCCTATGCATGGGGGGCCGATTGGAGCTGCCCGGCGCCTGGCTGCGTCGCCGCGGCTCATAGTGGCCATGCGGGATGGGAGACCTTTACCGGCCTCCGGGCGCATGTGGATGCCCACATCCTTGGCCAGATTCCAGGGGCAGTTCCAGCAGAGTGGTTGAGGGCACGGAACATGGTCTCCTGCCGCGAGTGCTCCAGACTGGTGAGCCGCCGTTGCAATGGTGGAGTTCACCGCACTTGTGTTGCGGATCGGCTAGCTGCGCGCCCTCAGCCTTTGTCTCTCCCTGGTGCTTGCTTGGATGCAGACTTGGACACAGTGCTTGGCAGCCTTCCTTCATTGGATGACATTTTTTTCGGCTCCGATTGGCACTCGTGACTTGATCAGTTCTGCTCTTCTTCCCTCTGCGCAGAAAGAGTTTCTCCGATGCATCGTACAGGTCTTGCAGCACAACACGGCGGATGCTTGGGCCGACCCTGGTGGCCCTGCCGACACAGCACCACGCAAGCGGTGTCGTTTGGCTTGGCTGGAGCTTTTTATGTTCTGTAAGACTTGTTTGGCTGTGCTGCCTGGTGGTGCTGCAAAGCGCCACCGCAACCACAACATCAGCTCTAACCGCCTTGAACGGTGGGCTCTTGGAGAGCACCGGAGCTTGTGGGACGAGGTTGCTTCCCGCCGTGGCGCGCCTCGACTGGATCGCCACCGACCTGATGAGGAGAAGCAGCAAGCAGCCCGCCTTGTCGCAGAGCAGTTTGCTCGCAGAGGCATGCCAGGCAAGGCAGTGCAACGTCTGGCCGGGGCTCCAATTGCTGCCATCACTCCGGCCACTGTTGCCGCCATGCAAGCCAAGTTCCCTGCTCGCCCGGCCCATCAGGCCACTACACAGCGTGCGGCAGCACCGCCTGCCAACGACATAAGCTGTGATGATGTTGTGAAGGCCGTGCGCTCCTTCCCACGTGGTGCTGCGCCCGGGCCCTCTGGCATGCGACCGGACTTCCTCAAGCAACTTGTTGATGCTGGGGATGAGCAGTACGGAGCCCAGGTCCTTACAGACTTGGTCAACCTCCTTGCTGATGGGCGGGCCCCCATCGCGCTGCGTCCTTACCTCGGTGGGGCTCGTGGCACAGCTTTGGAAAAGCTGAGCAAAACTGGAGCTGCTGATGTGCGGCCTTTGTGTGCAGGCGAAACCTTGCGCCGCCTGGTCGGCAAGGTCTTGCTGCGGAGTGAGCTCCCTGCCCTGCGGGCACACCTCTTGCCCCACCAGCTTGCCGTTGGAGTGCCGGCTGGGGCCGAGGTTATGCCGCACTTATACCGGCAATGGCGGCAACACTACCAAGCCGACACCGACCGAGTTTGCCTGTCTTATGATGAAGGGAATGCCCACAATGTGGTTGATCGGCATATGTTTTTGACGCGCATGCAAGAAGTCGCCCCTGGTCTTTCCCGATGGTTGGAGTACATTTATCCTACCGACATTGACACCAAGGTCTTCTTTCAGGACGTTGTGATCCCTTCTGCTGCAGGCGGCCGACAGGGGTGTCCTTTGATGACGGCATGCCATGCGGTTGTGCAGCGACTCTTGTTGGAGAGTCTGGGATTGGCTACCCCGCCTGCTGGCACTGCTGTGGCGTTACCCACGCTGCAGCCACCTGCGCAATTAGACATGGCACCCTGTTATGCGGACGACGGTCTTTTGGCCGGGCCTTCTGCTGAGGTATTGCGGGCCCTGCAGCATTGGTCCACTGTTATGCCTCGTCTTGGCCTTCGCTTGTCCACTGCTTCCGTGGCGCCAGTTGCTGGGATCCGCCACCAGGTTGACTTTCGGCCTTTTGCTGCCTTGGGTTGTTCTATTTGCGAGGATGGCAACTTTGAAGTCCTCAAATCACCTGTTGGCGATGCAGCCTTCAACAAGGCGTATTGTTTGCAGGGAGCCGCCCAGCAAGCCACTACAGTGCAGTTGGTTGGTGGAATCGAGGACCCTCAGGTTGCCTATTATTTGTTGCGGTGGTGTTGCACTGGTGGCCGGATGAATTACTTGGCTCGCACCACTCCAGCTCAGCATTGTCTTCCGGCCATGGTGGCCTTTGACTCGGCGTTGCATGATGCGTTTTGCGCTTCCACTGGCTTGGCATTGGACCGCCTGGCCTGGCAACAAGCTCAGCTACCTGTTGCTACTGGTGGTCTCGGACTTCGCTCTGCGGTTGACCTTGCGGATGCTGCTTACATTGGCTCTCGAGTCATGGTTCTGGATCGTTGTCGTGCCTTATGGACGCTTGCCGCTTGGGAAGGCTCTACTGCAACCACAGACCTCGGCCTCGCTCTTGCTCGCTGTAACGGTCTGCTGCAACAAGCTGGTCTCCAACCCTGTTTGGGGGATCAGCCCGGGCGCAGCTTGAGCCAGTCAGCGATTTCACGCCGCCTGCGAAAGGTCCATGTCTTGGCTTGGAAGACTGCCGCTGGCACCGATGATATTTGTCGCCTTCATGCTTGTGCTGCTGATTCTGCGGATACGGTCTTGAACCTGGTCCCGTCGCGCATACTTGACACCAACCTCTCCAAGGATGACTTCCTGACTTGTGTCGGTGGTCGCCTTGGCGTCGATATGTGCACTGGGGGCGGTGCTTGCCGTTTTTGTGGTTTGGCCATTGATGTGAAGGGGCGCCACCCACAGTCGTGTATGGCTGGTGGTGATGCTGTTGCGCTTCACAACAGTCTGCGGGACCTCTTGCACAGCTATTGTGCTCGTGCCCAGCTCCGCCCCCCAAGCCAAGGCTCCTGGACTCTTGGATGGACGGCGGCGGCCAGCAGACATCTTCTTACGAGGTGCAACTGGTCTCCTTCCAGCACTGCCTGATGGCTCCCGCCCTACTGGGCCTAGTGCTCTAGCCTTGGATGTGGCTATCATCAACGCCTTGGGAGCGAGTCATTGGGACGACACTTTGCGGGGAGCCCATGATGCAGTCACGGCCTATGCCCAACGCAAGCGTGACCACCTCGGCACCGCCAGCTCGTGCCAACAAGCTGGCATCCTTTACCTGCCCTTGGTCTGGGACATTCAGGGCGGCAGCACGGCCGACACTCGAGCCTTCCTTCACCGCCTTGCTGGCATGGTTGCTGCAGTTGAAGGGGTTGATTTGCTTGTGGTGAAGGCCCGCCTCTTTGACCAGCTTGCTGTTGTGCTGGCTCGAGGGGCAGGACGTGCGCTGCGACGCCGGCGTCGCGCAGCCGGTGCGACAGCGCACGCTCCCGGCCTTGTCGCTGGATTGGTGCTGGATCCTTGATTCACAAGTTTGTCTCCACCGAGCCAGTGATCACGGATGCTTGTATACCTGTGGTAGGCCAACCTCAGCAGCAGCTTGTCCTCTGGCTATGCTTTGGATGTTGCACGAATCACTCCTGCACTTGGTACTGCTCGCCTGTTGGACGTTCTTGTCGCCCTGACTCTACCGCATTTGCTTTTGGCTCCGCTCCTTTTGACCGCCTCACCTTGGCCTTCCTCTGAGTGCATCCTTCCAAGAAGGGTTTGCGCCCCTTTTTTTGTGGCTGTATCACACGCATGTTTCGACATATTTCATTTCTTGTGCAAGGTTTTTCCCTTCCAAGAAGGTTTTCCTTGCTAGGTGGCAATAGCCAGTGACTGTCATCTCGTACGTCGCAGGCTCAGTCTTCAGGACGCTCGGTCTTTAGCATGTCCTGAGAGAGCACGGTAAGAGTTCCCGGCCCAGAGGTCGGGGACTGCAGTGTCTCCCAGTCCCCCGTCCCTCTTGATTCTTCAATCTGTCGGAAATCGGCGTTTTCTTGTGCAGCTGCCCTGCTGGTGCTGGTCCAGGGATGACACCATGTCATGCCCAAAATTATATCATGTCATGCGAGGGATGACAAACGTATACGCCCGCTATCTGGGGTCTATGCCGGTGTAATTCAAGTGCGGGTGCTGCTACTGCCGGATCGGGGTGGGCGTATGGGTGCAGGTGCTGGTGCTGGTGCCGCTACTGGATCGGGGTTTTCCACTGATCGACTGTGTTTTGGAGACTTTGCATCGTTTCCCTTCGTGGATGACATGATGTCATGCCAGGGATGAAGTCATGTCATGCCAGGGATGACATCATGTCATGCCAGGGGCACTGCAAACACTCGGAAGGTGTTTCCCATGCCCGAATGCCCGAATGGCACCGCTCATTGACAACGAAAGCTATTAGACATTGGAAATTTATTTTCCACAGGCACTATGAGTTGTTTCCCTATACACCCGCTATGGGCCACTCCTGTCGCATCCGACGAGAGGAGATGGAGTCTGAGGAGATGGGTATTCCATCGCCCGATGTGGTGAGCTACAGCACTGCCATGAGTGCCTGTGCCAAGGTGCCAGTGGACCAAATGAACAGAGAAAGGTCTTCCAAATCTTCCACTCCCTATGGATCCACTGCCACATTCTCAGGTACGGTGAGTGCTTTCGACACTTTTACGTAAGCGCCGGGGGGCGGGTCCAGTGGTACTTGAGAAGGCGGAGGTGGATCCCTATAGGGCCTCTCCTGGGAACTCTCCTGGACCCTGCTACCTTCTGTCATTTGTGCCTGGACGCCTACCTGGACAACCCATGTGGTGACCAGCTGCAAAATTCTGACTCCCGACGTGGCACCCCCAAAGGCGTCACTGGCTGGGTCATTGGCTGGGACCCTCAGTAGTAACGAAAGGAGTACTTGACACGACTGGTTCAGGCAGGCAACTGGGAGATGACCTTGGGTTTCTTCGTTTCCATGCAGCAACGCTTCTTGGCGATATGCAACTGGTGGGCAGGTAGATGCCAAAGCGAAAATTCGAGATGTTTGGATGGGTTTGCATTATAATAGGGAAATCCCCACCAATGAGTTGTGGTCTATTTTCCTTCTTCTAGGGGGTCGAAATGGGAGATCTCCCTAATATTCTAATACAAACCCTTGTCAACAAAGTGTTCAATGTGTAAGGTACCAGGGAGATGTAATTAATTGTAATTAGTAACAGTGTGTTGTGCACGTGTTGTCTAATTACAGTATCACCAGGAGCTGTCCTACTTTCAACAAAATCCATTGTTTTGCCCGGCGATTGAAGGTCTAGATGGTTCAGAAATCATCAGACAATCACAGTTGTTCTTTGGTAACTCTTCTCTATAGCTAGGCCAATTGTTGTATTATTTGATATGATACCTGGATTTTGCAACTATGCAAAGTGATGCCCTTTGGCTGGTTTGATATGAAAAGGAATGAAGATTATATAAATGTTCAGGAAGGAGAAGATCCAGGTATAAATGATGTGTTTTCCAGCCCAGAGGATCGCTTCAGTGTTTGGAATCGTTTGTAGGAACGACCGAATGAACAGGTCCCCTCGGACTGGTCCCGGTCCCTGGGCATGTACCTCAGTACCTCGGTACAGTCGGACTGGGTCAGTCGGGTTCAGGTGACCTGGAAGATCCTGCTAGCTTTGACTGGAAGAGGTAGAGGGTTTAAGGTTTTCTCCTGCAAAGGCTCTTAAACATTCTTTGATGATGCTCAATCTGCAACAAAAACCCTGGTATTGTTCGGAACATGATGAGGGACATATTCCAGGGTAGACTTTCTATTTCAACAAAACCTGGAAGTTTGATTTTCATGCCTTTTTCGACAACTACTTTCAAAGCTCAGTGTTTGTTAGGGGTGACTTGAACTTGTCATATCTCATATGTTGTCTACTTATAGTGAATCCAATTGTTCCAGAATATCTTAAGTTCAATTCCCAGACAATCCATGGGACTGGTATATTTACCTACCTTGAGGTGGGCCTACGTTGGAGTCAATTGAGCATGATATGACAGCATCGGTATATGCAGTGTCTGGGAATTGGGTTTCGGTGGATTCATCCACACATCCAGCAGTTCCATGGAGCTAACACTGGTGAGTCTGTCTCATCCACAGCTAAGAGGCACCTTTGGGGTGGGTTTTTTTTTGGCTGCCGAACTACTCACGTGCTTGGACCAAACCAAAAACCAACTGCAAGGAGAATCATGGAGAATCTAGCTGGACCCGACTGACCCAGTACCTTCCAAAATGGGACCTCACCCTATTGAAGACATCTTTGTACCCAGGTCCTTGTACCCGGTCGGACCCCTTCGCGAAGTCGGTCCGAGGCCTCCTGTCACCTGACGCGACGTCGGTGTCCAACGTGGTGACCGCTTGCAGCAAGGGCGAACATTGGGAGCGGGTCGGGTCGGGGTCGGGAGGTGAGGTGTTGTTTTTTGGATTCCTTGTCCACCATTGTTTCAATGGTCTGAATCCCAAACATGCCCAAACAGTCCCATGGTTTATTTTATGGATTTTGAACTACAGTTCGGTTCAACCTGTCCTTTCATGTGTCTTTTTTGCTTGCAGGCGAATGCGGGTTTGTTGTGTTTGTTGTGTTTTTTTTTTGTGTTGAATTTCCTTTTGCGAAGGGAAGCAGACCTGAAGTCACGATCTCCAAGAGGCAGGTATGATGGCCCATCCACCTGTTCCTACCTGTTCCTGCCGACCCGTAATTCGGACCCTGGAGACATGGGTACAAGAAACCTGGACCCGACTTCAGGTACAAACTGGAGACATTTGACCCTATTAAAACCGGCCAACTTGCGCCCAATTTTCTGGAGTACTTTCAGGCTTCAGTTCAGTCCAGGTGCCTGCTTTTGCATAGAGTCATGTCATGTCATGTCCAATTTTCTAGGGTACTTGAAGTCGGGTCCTTCGGTACTTGGAAGCACGTCTTTCGATCCTCGCGTGCGTTGACGGCACTCGTGCCACGAAAAAAGACCCTGCGCTGTTTAGGAGTTGGCGATCCAATTGATGGAAGACCATCAGTGCAGGCCGACACCCGGAGATTGACACGGAGAGTGTGGTGTTTTGCATGAGGCTGTGCTGAAGAAAGCTCAGGTGCTGAGTTGCAACAGAAAGTTGGCTATAGGCTACCGGACATTCTTTCTGCCGACCTCACCCTTTATATATATACATATAGGGTACCAACAGAGAGTCCTGGTGCATGACACCGACAAACGTATCCCGTCACCGCTCGATTAGAAGAACCTGACTTGATCGAGTGGGTTTTTGATCTCCCTACACCTCCAAGTACCTCTTCAGATGGTATTTAGACCCTCCAAAACCCACCCCAAACACCTTCTCAGGTTCGGTACTTGAAGGCCAAACGGGTTTGATGTCCTAGGTCCTCCGCTTTTTTTTCACGTCGAGCGCACCAAGCACGGATTCCAGTGGGTGATATATTGAGAGTTTCCAAGCGTTCGCCACATGAGGATCCTGTGTGTCATACTTGGTCAACTACCCCTTGTCAGGAGGTACCTTCTGAGGTACCTTCATTCGAAGGGAGGCTATTTGGAGCCCAGTCCTTGTCACGTCAGTTGCCGCCCAGTCGTCTCAGATCGTCTGCGATCGCTTCCTTCAAACCAACGACCACTGGCACCCTGCCGGTTCACGCAATGACTGAGGTACCAGTCCTACCTTTACCCAGTCCTCATGATGCTTAACAAAGAACAAAACACATACACGCACACAACTGTTCATTTTTCTGCATCACCTCTCATGTTTGTTTCTTTTTAAGCGCTCTTAAGGTACTGGTATATAATATAGTATATTCATGTTTAAGGTGTTTGACTGAAATTGAGTTACCTGTTTCATCGATCTTTTCAGATTATTGAAAGGTCCAACATGCTGCAACTACCTTAGAAGAGGGTGAGCATCCTTGGTGCCTGATGTTCTGATCATCTCGGATGCTGTGTTTGTTTGTTTAATCTCCTACTAAACTGCTAGAGCTTAAAGCCTGTAGCAGAACAGTTCACACGGTGGTGGAATTGGTACTTCATAGCCTGGAAATCCTAACAACCAGAAACAAATTGTGGTTCTAACACGGCAGGCAGTTGAGATTCTTGACATAACAAGTGGTTGTTTGGAATCATCCAGGAGGCTCCATCCATCCAGGCTAACTTGCATCCCAACGGAGTGAATCTGTGAACCTTGCAGGCGAGGTGAAATGGACCTCGTGTGTCACAACGCCCCTTGGAGCCTGCGATTTGGGTCGAACGTGTCCGCGAACGACCTCGCAACTGCGTGTGATTTGCAGGGAAATTGGGCCCAACGCAGTGTGTTCGGGTTGCCTGACAAGATTTGGGAGTTGGAGGATTGCCACTTCATGGCAGACAGAGCACATGACCACTGCACATCGTGGATCCAAGGCAGTTTGAGGCAAACCCAAGTTGAGAGGGCATGTCATAATTTGATGGACTCTGAGTCTTTTGTTAAAGATCAGTGAGATTGCTCCCCATGGATTTCCGGTTGTACTGCCCCTGGTTCGATTACGCGATGTACTGCAGCCAGTGATGGAGTGATGTTCGTACTTAGATGGTACTTGCTTCGGCACCGCGGTAAAACACAAAACGAGGCGATGATCCATGCTATGTGCAGTGGCAAGCGATGGCAGCAGGCCGGGCCGCTTTGCTTCCGCTGTTGGGAAGGAGCCAAGAGCCCATGTGTCAGAACTTTGGCCATTTAGCCATTTCATGTTCAATAGCTTGTCTTGATTTCTGCTGTGTGCGTATGATTACTGTATGTATTGTTACTATTACGTTGCCGGCATGCACCTAAATGAGTCAATTCGCGTTCAGATGGCAAGACGTTGCTGGTGAACCATGGCTGGTCGTCCCGCATCTAGTACTGTCCACCCCGTAGGGCCATGGAACAATCTGTTCTACTTGATTTGCCATGTCTTTGAGGTCGAACAAATTGCTGGGCTGAAGGAAAGACCCCTAACCTTATACTTACTTGTTTGCGACATTCAGTATTCGTCGGCAACTGCATTGTCTTGTTTTGTCTTGTTTAAAAATTGAAAGTAAATAGCAATCCCCTAGGGCTCCAGCCATATCCTCAGAAGGTGGTTAGACACCTGTGGCACCCACCTCAACCATCTTCTCAGAAGGTAGGCCAGGAGCCCTAGGGATCAACAAAATCGGAATGTTTAATGTGTTCTCAGGGGTCCCCTGGTCCCAGCTATAACTCTCCCCAAGTCGAGCAAAGAGCTGAGAGGTGGAGCTAGACGACTATTCACTGCCCTTTTCGTTGGTCAATGTCATACGCTGCTTCTCAGATGGTTCCGCGTTACAGCTGCTAGGTGTTACAGTCTACTAAAGACAGTCGTGAGCCCAACCCAACAAGTGCTTTAGACCTGTGACTTTTTCAGGACCAAACGCAGAGTAGTAGCACAGACAAATAATGAGAAATAGGATGAACCACTGTTGCTCGCAACTGTGAGGAGTTGAGGCCAATGAGGCTCCTTTGTACCGAGACCTTTCTCAAGAAAGACTTTCACACCCTTCCCAGACCATCCATGGAACGACATCTTTCCTTTGCCCCATCCACGGGACGGCTTAAGCGCGTAAGCAAATCATTGCCATGCAGTATGGGATTCTTCGGCTTTCTTGGGTCAAGTCATTGTCAAGTCCTTGATATTCCTTGATCACTTTCTTCGTCGACTCGAGGCGGTGGACCACTTTGACCAATTGCCTTCCGCGGATGTGGTGAGTGCGGGGTGCTAGCGGGGTGCGGGCAGGTCCCGGCGTCGGTTCGGTGTTTTTGGGTGTGTTTGGGCCATGCCGAAGAGATCCAGGGTGGGCCATTCCATGCTGGACAAGATCGCCATCCTCTCAATTTTTTAAAGGTGGACGGCTGGAACACGTGAGCTAGTGAGCTAGTTTTTGTTGATGACCGTGTGCTTTCAGGACTTCAAAAGCAATATAGAAATCCCAACGAGGTCAAGTGCACTTTAGGCAGGAAGGAGGTCAACCACTGTTTGGTGGCAGCTGGTCAGGGCTACACTTGGCTTGGACAAATGCTACTGAATGCTACACTTGGCTGGTCAATGCTACACTTGGCAGCTTTTTTGGCTGGTCAACTACTGTGATTCTTTGCAAACACATGTGTTTTGAACGAAACACTTGCAATCCTCCCTGGAATCCCGGCGAAGACGGATGTCGATCCAATCCAGCGGTTGATGTGGATCCAAAGCGATGTGAGGTTACAACACTACCATGATGGCGCTGAGTGAAAGCAACCTGGCGAATTTGTCAGCTCAGTTCTTGCCTTTTGTTGAGAACATGTATATATATATATATTCAGCTGGGTGCTTCAGCATGGTGGGATAGTGGTCATTCAACCAAGATGCTCGTTGACCTACGTAGCAGGTTGACAACCATAAGTCGACGAGCCACAGTCTTGGCTGGGTTGGGGTAGGATGTGATGCCTCGCCAAGAGGCAAAAAGAACTTGCTGGGTAATCTATGGGCCATAGGTGAAAGTACTTCCGGAGACCGGTCCTTGGGCCTCCGGACATCCAAGCAACGGATGGTCCTGGGGTTTCGTTTGAGGCACGACGCCTGGAAGATGTGAGTGAAACACAAATGCAGCTAAGCCCGGCCCTACAACTGGGTGCAATATCCTCCATATCATCTCAAACCATGCTTAGCCTGAATAAATGTGTTATAAGGGAATCAACTAAGGACTATGTTCTGACAATGTGACGTTCCTGCTTGTGGTCTTCTATCGGCATAACATCATAATATTCGATTTTGGTGCCAGGAGAAAGAATCCTATAGGGTCAAACTACCTTGTTTTTTTCTTCGGTGCTTGGATGGCTGCCATGGGAACGCTCTCAGTACCTTTCTTCGGAGGTGGGAGCGCATTTTCAGCTTTAGACCATGGTCCCACAGCCCTCTCAAAGTGGTCCAGTCTGACCCAGGTCCAAACCTGGTCTTTCCTGGTTTTGCTTAGATTAGGATGATATCAGTGATTGTCCCGAAGTGGGTGAATCCATATTGGCTTTTGGTCCAGTTCCTGGAATCGCCCCGTGCTGCCAAGCCTGACTTCCGAGTCGTGTGAGGGACCTGTGAACGGTTCGACCTGGCCCGGAACCCGACCGACGCCGCGATCGAAGGGTCACACCCGGCGTCGAAGGCGGGTGGCGCCGAGGCCAGGAATGGCAGAAAGCTTTGGAGCTTTTCCAGCAGCTGAAAAGAAGCTGGGACGAATCGTTTTCGGGCGGTGACATGGGGTGGATTTTGACCTATAAGGCCTATAAGGAGACAGTGGGTTTTAGGGTTCTGGCTCAACCTATTCGAGGATGTGTGGATACAGCAAACAGTATGTCCTATTTTGGGGTGTGGCCTTGAGTTGGCTTTTTACACGGAGCTATACAACAGAGAGCTGGTCCTCCCCACGCTGAATGAGCTGAGAGGTTGACGTTGAGGTCCCTCATGTCGCACTGCTGTGGCCCAGAGACACGGATATGTCCGGATCCAATCCCTACAGAGATTCTTGACCTCATTTGACTGTACCTGGTCATAAATGATATGAAACAGACTGGATGCAGAGGACCAAGCTTTACGTCAGACTGGACTTGTAAGGAATAGTGTCTTCCATGCGTGTCGGACTGTGTCTCATGACCATCCGGCTTCCGTATGGCGCGCTTGGAAAGCTCTTCTGAAAAGGACATCGCCTACACATGAAAACACAGCCTGTTGTTAACAGTTGCTATCATGAGTATGCTTTAACCAAATGCCAAGCCCTCACTACAAGGGCTGTCATGCAAATGTTTGGAGGCTTGCTTTTTTTGTTTGGTACCTCGACAGCTTGGTGTCAGTGCACATTCCGAAGTGGTGTTGTTTATTCTTTTCCCGTGCTGCATGTTCAACCTGGTTTTCAACCATTGAAGCCACACCTGCTCTCGATTCCTCAGTGATTTCGACCGTGTTGATGTCCGCCGTAGTTGGATATGATACTGTTATACAACACACACATGGTCTTTTAGACAGCTGTGCCTTTGGGGACCCTTCTTAGAAGAACCTAAATAGACGAGCCTGAAATTGGGACCTCATCATTACAATATATATATCATCCCTAAGGGTCCAGGACCATCCGTTGCTCGGATGTCCTTGGCCCCAAGGACCAGTCTCTGGAAGTACTTTCACCTCCAAGACCATCTTCAGGAGGTACCTGGACCCGGGACCCTATGGGTATATAAGAAGGATACTAAGGGTACTTACCTGTCAGACATCCCAAAAAAAGCAGATGACCATGAAGGACCCTGTGTACCGTTTAAGAGAGGTGTTTCATCTTCCAACACCGCCGTGGGTGTTGGTGAATGTCATGTTGGATAACACTGATCTTCTCAAAAGTCGACAAGCAGCTTCTGAGGTAAAGAGAGATCATTTAGAGACCCACCTCTCCGCAAGTCCTGCTTCACCAGTGACGTGCTTCACCACGGGCAAGACGACCTGGAGTTGTAGGTGTTCATAGGTTTTCTAGCTGTTGCTACGACAGAGCGAAGCATTTCGCTTCCTGGACATCCACCAAGGACATGGGCCCTTGCCCACCACCAACAGCTTCTTGTCAGCTAGACCTATTCGTTCCTGCCCATGCGTGCAGTGGTGTTCTGTTGACCGACGAGAAGTGGAACATGGCTCGACTCTGGGTGTGTATTCTTTGACCTGGATATGGTCCAGGGGCTGTATCCCAAGGATTTATTTGAAAGCGCGTTTCAGAAGTTTATGTTGAAATCTATGTTTCATAATTAATTTTCATGGATATTTATCATAAAACCATAGATTTAATATCCAACCATATCCAACCAATTGTTGTTGGTCTATGTTCCTTCTTCCAGGGGGGTCGATCTGGGAGGTCTCTCTATTTAACCACACACCCTTAGGACTATCCATGGTTTTCCTGGGTCTGCATGATCTCCCATGGTTTGCTGGAGGGAAGGCATATTTATTGATCAGAGCGTTTTCTACCGTATCCTCTTTTGGGAGACACCTATGAAAAAGGAAGATGGGCTTTGATATAGTGAACAGCACCAGCTTTCGACCAACACACACATACACGCACCTGACAGTATAAAGCTTACATGTATTTTTGTATGCATTTAGTATCTACAAGCTTTTTTTGGTTGTGAGGTAAATGTGTGTTGCTCATCCTCGCCTCCATTCTGTGTCTTGGTCTCAACGGCCTGTGACAGAGAATGTTCGCCGCAGGAGGAACCTCAATTCCTCGGTGACTTTGGTCCCTCCAGTTGGAGAACCTGCCGAGTGACACGGCAACATGCCTTCCCTCGGTCATCCCCAATGAGCTGACACGCCCCGAAAGCAATGTCAGAAATCAGGTTTGAGAACGGAACCGAGTTCGGTTTTTCTGAAGATTCGCCCTCCACGTCATCGTTTCTTTGCACCTGGTGGTTCCTTTCGACTCTTCCTAAACTCTTGCAAACCACCTGGTCCCTCCGCTCCAGTGGTTGGAGCGGCTTGCTCAAACCGTGCTCAGCTTCAGACTGATCGGTGCCCCCGGTCTGCCGGCACGGACCACCGGAGGGAAGGAGGGCGGAACAGGGGGGGGGCCAAGAGAGGTAGCCAGTGACCGTAAATAGGACCTGTCACCTGGGGTACCCAACTGGCATGTATATATATAATATTATATTTATATAGTCTTTTGGGGTTCTTGAACCTTTGTTGGGAGCGCCACATCAGTTCCGTCTTTCGAAGAGTTGGAACACCTCCCAGAGTTGGAATCCGGCTTCACGCCGCCCTCGAAGGCTTCAACATCGCCATGGATGTGTGGTCGCAGCACGACCCCAGTGTGGACTGTGCGAAGCAGGTGGACCAACTCCAGGCCGCATGGAGACCAAACGAGGGGGAGACCAAACGAGGGGGACTTTGGCTGGCTGCCAAACGGGGCTGCTTGCCGCCTTTTGGCGGTTGGAGACCGCAGACATTGAGTGTTGGTAGTTGGTCAGTACTTGGACCTCACTCCTACCAACACTCAACTACCAACACTCAACTATCCCAGTAGTATGGTAGTTGGTCAGTACTATCCCAGACGCCCTGACGTGAAAAAAAGAACAGCTACTTACTCCTGAGGACTGTGAGGGTCCGGGTAGATTAGTTTTGGACGGATCGACTGACCTTTTGCTGTTGGAGCCGTTCGTTCGGTGTGAGGACGGTACCGTGGTGCCGTCCATGCCGGAGCGAGACGGAGCGATTCGGATCAATTGAGAAGCACAGAGGGAACACTGGAACTCCTAAAGCCCCTTCGTTGCCTGCCAGAGGTTTGAAGAACCAATGAAAGTGCAATCAACGTCCCACTTCTTTGTAGGTATACCTGGAATGTCCAGGAATGTGTCAGTTACTCCAGCTTGTTGCTCAGATGGTAGTTAGACCCAAAGATTCACAACTCACCTCAGGAGGTGCTTCAGTTAGATACATTACGGTTTGATTTTTGGTGCCAATCGCAGTCCACTTTCATCGCAGTGAGCCGGCTCACGGGAGTGGTCGCGGTGGCTTTGTGGGCCATGTGCCATGGCAGGCGGGGAAGAGAGCGGGCAGCGTAATGGCCAACTGTAGAGTTGAGGCAGTTTTTGATACAAGCGCCACAAGCACAAGCAACATCCTGAGTTTTGACGCACCTACTGCGACTGCTCAGTCTCTTCTCTTCTCTGACGCCGCTCCGCCCGTTTCTCCGCCCGTTTTTCACACTGCTCCGGACTCCCAACGGTGTTCCCGTCGAAGACCCTCCGGTCACCCTGCCAGGCACTGACGCACCCATCCTCCCGCACTGGACGCGCTGGAGGGTGGCCCTGGCGTCCTTGACGGAGCAGCGGGAGGACTGGGAGATGGAACATGGGGCGATGTGGCTGAACAGAGCCGAAAGCCAAGCCTTTGTTGAAGTATCAAGAGAGGTGAATTGAGAAGGCGTCAGTCTTTGGGGACACAAAGCTTTCCCTATTGGACGCCTGTGGGATTTTTTTTGCATGCCAAAGCAACGTTTCTCATCATCGAAGAGGCGAGCTTGAGCGTGGCCAGAGCGTTTCGTACGCATGACCTACTGCCCCGGCAGGTTCACGGGCTGTGGCATGGACTGTTCGCAAGTCATGTGGATCCTCCATGGATCGATCGATCTCAGCTTTGAGGCGCAAGACATGCTCCTGCTCAAGCGACCGGCCGGGCACTCGGTGCCCACGGTGAGATCAGTAGAGTCGACGACCGGGGACGGCGAAGGCGAAGAAGCGTGAAGCTACCAGTGACCCAGTACCGTAGAACATGGGACATGACCCAGTACTTGTACCGCAGGTCCTTGTAACCACGTGAAGGTTTTATATTAGATATGTACGTTAGTAAAGAAGTTGGAACTCGTCATTGGGTGCTTTGAGGAGGATGAGGAGTTGGACGTGATCCGCTACACCACTGTCATCACTGCTTGTCAGAGACTTGGACGGAGACCGGACGTTGGGAGACTTCGGGTACTAGAGTTGGCTACGTCGGTCACGGTGCACCGGTTTCCAAAGGGAGGTACAGTTGTTGATAAACCCTCCTCACAGTGCATTGCATGGGGTACTCCCTACAGTGGTTGGCGATGTGCTGAAAATTCCTGTGGCCAAGGCAAGCGTCACCGTGGAAAAAACAACTAAAACATACATGGCAATTGAAATTATAAACGGACCACGGTGGAATCGAACCATCAAAGTAGGAGTGCTGACCTTGCGGTTTGTAAGACAAGAGTAAAACACCTTCACCAATATGTGCAGCCGGTCAAGCTGATTCCGGTATTGAAGGAAACGGCTTGTCAGCAAGGTGGCACACATGGTGGCACATCAGTCAAACTCCTTGATACTACGACTGAGCTTGATTGATGGTAAGGGGTGAAGAATCCCTAAAACTCTCTCTCTCACCTTGCGCATCCATTCCCTTGCGATGAAATGTGATCAAGAGACACCAAAACACAGTCTGAGCAATGTCGCTCAACTCGGGCCTGTGCCGACCCTTTATTTTGGAGGTCATCCATTGAGACCTCTATGAGGAGGCCTAACAACCCTCTTGAGGAGACCTGAAGGCTGCTGATGTAGACATATAGATGTTTCTTTTGGATGTTTCAAAGCCTCCTGGACCTGACAGGCACCTTAAGTCCTAAGGTACCATCTTCTGACACGCCCAGTTTCTGACCCTTTGTCATAGGCTTGAGGGGGGATGCCAGAGGTCAAACTTGGGATCCTTTGGGCTTGTTGGAGGTCCTCATCTTGGTGGTTGCCCCGTGAAACTTGAAGGGTTGGACCTCTTGACCTCGGTATGCGCAGGGCGCAACGACATGGATGATCGTCCACCCTGCAAGGTGCCTCCACCTTCATAGATCAATTAGAGGCAGGGTGTTTTGTATAGGAAACCAATTCCCTGCACTCCGTGACAATCTTACAATATCTATCTCAATGGATGTCCGATTTCTCTCGCCGAGTTGTTGTTGCCCTGTGCGTTCACCGGTGTGTACTGGTAGGAAAGCAGCCCGCTGGTGGGCGGCCCTCGGGGTGTTGCACTCCTTGCGACGTAGCAAGCTGCGAGCAAACGTGGTGACCTACAACAGCACATTAGGAAGCTGTACGCAGGCACCGGTGGCTTGCGATTGGGAGACTCTATGACTGTCTATATATGTTGAAAAGAGCTTTTTGACCTTGGCAATGAAGGGTAATTGCATGTATATTACTTTTATTAGATAATGGATGATACCTGGACCCTCGAAGTACAATGATTTTTACTGTTAGGTTCATGTCTCATTGTCCAGGGTACTTGAAGTCGCGCTTGTGCAGCTGGGTCGCTAGGACCATCCATTTCTCGGATGTCCTGCTGCAGCAGGCCCCAGTCGAAGGAAATACGTTAGCCCAAAAAGAAGACCATCCGAAAAAGTCCCTGGACCTTATGGAACTTGGTACAACATCCTCTCTAGGTGCCGACGGTTTTGTTGACAGCTGAGCTGGTGTATGTTGGGTGTTGGGTGTTCAGCGTGGCCATACTCGTGGCCATTTCTCCTGGTAAACTGCCATGACCTGCTTAACTGCTTCGGTCACTTTGTTCACTTCGTTCAGTTGCGAAGAGCACATGGAGCGGACAGAAGATTGACGTGCACGGGTGAGTGATTTTGTTAAAAGGTCTTAGCCAGCTTGAATACTCACTCATGCGGCATGCGGTTGTTCAAGGCACCTGCAGTAGCAATCCCAACTGGTAAATTTTAAAGGGACAGTGTACATTCTTTTTGGGGGGGACTAGGATATACCAAGAAATTCCACCCGAAGCAAACACAGCTATAGGATACTTGCAGGAAGCCCAAACAACCAGAACACACATGTGACATGTGTTACTTGTTTTTCTGATGATGGCAATTGAGATCCTTTACAATCCTTTACAAGTGCTTGGGACTGTGGAAGCATCCATTTCTTGGGACAAATTTTCCGTTGAGAGATGACCTGGGCATCGTGCCCAGAGAGTTCTGAGCCGAGCCGAGCCGGTCAGGCTGCTGAATGGCCCCAAGCACTTCAGTTGCTCGACCAGGCCGACCAGGACCGAAAAAACCTCAGAGTTGCACCTGGTAACCTGGTAAGACGTAAGACCCCAGGACTCTGTATACACAGTGACAAGTAAGTCTTGAAAAGAAGAAAGCAATTTCAGAACAGCATGTTGGGAACGAACTGGGCTGGTAGAACTTCCAAGAGCTCGATGTTTTAATGCGTGTTTTTTGTATCATTGGCAGATGTACAGCTCACATAGTGAACAAGTGCTCACACAATCAAGGCCAACACCAACACCAACAAAGTATCGGTATGTGACAGACAGTAATGACTCAACAAATGAGAATCATTGCATGATTGTATAATGATTATTTCCACTGAACATGAACGAAGCTGGTCGAAACAAGATACTGGTTGACAGGACTACCCTGTCAGGGGATATAGAACATATATATAGAACATATACTTTGATTTCCCCGACTGCAGCGAAACAGCTGCAAACCTCGCTGAGCGATTTTCGGGATCGAAAACGGCCAGTTCTTGACTTCGCCCAAAAGGTCGAGAGAGGGGTGCGAGACCATTGGTGGTTCCAGCTGTGACCGGAGTTCCACCTTTTCGGTCAGTTTGAAAGTACCTTTTTTGGGGGGGGAATCTGCACACAGAGGGTTTGCAAGAGGAAACTGGTCATGCAAGGAGCTGTCCTCCAGATGATTGGAATGTACTCCAACCTTCTGAGAAACCTGCTGCCACGACGCACCCGGATGGATCTTCTGAGGAACAGCCAGAATCCATCCAGCTTGGGCCAGGGGGACTCAAACCCTTTGACCAAGGCCCCCCGCTAAGGGGTGTCTAATACCCTGCGAATCCAAATATCTCAGAAGGTAGGACTAGACCCTCCGAACCTACATAACAGTGTCTACAATCACCTTCTCAGAGGCCTAGAGATAATATGAGATAATGGGTTTTTTTTTGCTTCGAAGGTGGATTCCGATCGATTCCGATCGAACTGGAGAGGTTCGTGCAAATGTGGTCACCTATGGAAGCCTTTGTGGCTCCTGTGGCTGGAGAAGAGCTCGAGTCCTTCTAGGCGTGCCGGAAAGGAAACAGAGGGCAAACAGAGGTGGCGTGTGCACACCCCAGACTTCAGGGGCTCACATTCTTTTGTTCTTGCAAATCATTCTAGAAGAATGGAAAAAAAAAAACAAAAACATGATTAACATAGAACAACTATGAAAAACAATAGAAGCATAGCACTTGTAAACATCATTAAAGATCTATCATGCACCACCTGAGACTGCTTCACCCTTCCCTTGGACCCCTTGGACGCTGAGCAGAGCTTCTT